GGAAAGAGTCAGAGATGCTGCCCAACAGGGAGGTCCTGGCATGGAGCAGAGCTCAGGCTTCAAGATCCAGCCATGCATACTGCAGCCAGATCAAAAGCATCCAGAAATCAGTTGCCGCATTCTAGAACTCCTAAATCTCAGCAAAATTTGAGTAATTTCTTTTTAAAGTTATTTCCTTTCCCAAGTTGTTCCCAAAACAGAGACTGGCAGATAGCGCATACTCTATACCTGAAAGTTATAGCAACAGGGCACATGCAAATTCCAAAGAGAGAGCATCCTGCAGTCTTACTTTTAAGAGATGAGTGCAGACCAAGGAATGCCTCCTGCAAAGCCACTTCTTCCTGTGGTAACCACCATAACCTAAATCGCAGTCAGCAACCCAGAAAGTCCCATCAAGCTTTTTTCCAGCAGAGCTGCTCCAGAAGGGACATGGAACAGCCCTCCTCTGCTACAGACCATGCTTCACCATATGGCTGGGACCACCCCAAATTCAGATCTAGCAGGTTTGTTTTTTGTTTTTAAAATGGCTTTTTTTTTTTTTTTTCCAGGCCAGGCAGCAGCTCTTGTACAAGTGCTCTGCAAAGCTGCAGAATAAATGAGTTTCCATGGAGACCACCAAAGTCACCTTTCAGGCTATTTTGAAAGCTTCACATTTCTAAATCTGTTCCTGCCTGAGTCATGAGTTATCACTGAAAAACCTAACCAATATTTTCCTCAAAATTGTTTCTTGGTTAAGTGATTTTGTAAGAGGCTCCTCAAGGAGCTTAAGTGTGACACTTTATCACCAGTGTCAATATTTTCAACACCCTCCAGACCGAGCCTGATCCTGGAAGATTAAGAAGATGAAACTTACTTCCAAGTTCTCCACTTGGTTTCTCCTGGGGTAGAGGAGCACAGCAGCTCGACGTGGCAGGCAGGCACCGTACCAAGCCACATGCCTTTTTTGCCAGAAAGGTTGGGAAAACTCCTCTTCACCCCCAGGAGCTCACAGGAGCTGTGTGCCGAGGAGCACGCTGCTGCCAGAGCAGGATGTTGGTCCTTTCGCTCCAACAGGAGCCAGCTACCCTGCCTCGACTGTTTCGTAATTAAGATCAATCATAGGAACGCAGGAAGCGAAGGCTGCCCATCCTAAGAAGTTAATCTGGTCAGCTGAGAGGCCCGGCTGGTTACACTGTAGGAAATTATGTTGATGATGTAGCAACAATGTTGCAATATTGTTTCCTACCATTACAATTACTGGGAAAGGTTTTTCTCCCTCCCAGGAAGCAGGCGGGGGTAGGCAAGGCCTGGGCGGTGGTGGGGACGGTGGGGTTGAGGTTGGCAGCACTTGGCCTTGGCTTGGGGCAAGGATACCCGCTCAGAGCAAACACAAAGCCTGGCCAGCGCAGCCTCTTGCTGCTGCTCGTCAGACCCAGGGCAGGCAGAAACACTCATTTGCTTTATGGAAAAAAAAAAACCAAACCACAATCAGAAGCATGAAGTGATCCTTACAGGACCACGTTTTAAAAGGCGAAGGAAAACACAGGATTAAACAAGCTGCCCAGGTTTTTTCAAACTCGAGGGCTCTTCTTTATACTGTAATAAAAACATCCAGCCAGACTCTATCTTCCTCTTCTGCCACTGGCCACAACTCTCCCACAAAACAGTCACAATGGCTTCCTGCCTTCACCAAGCACCTGTTCTCCCCTTTTTGGGCACACGCAGGTCCAGCCCTCTCTCCTCCCCACAAAGCCACACAGCCCCATCACCCGAGGACCCCCCACTCCTCCCCATGCTTTCTGTGTCCAGCTCCAGCCTCTCTCCTCTCCTGCCTTTTTTGAAATCATTTCATCAGAGCTGTCTTCTGTCCCAGAGTCAATTTTCCTCCTGCAACTCCCCTCTCCACACTATCTGCAAATACAAGTTAAAACACAGTTTTTGAGAAAAAGTTATTTTCTGTCCTACAATTATGCACACTGTTAAGTTCCATTTCAGGTTTTGATTTACAGGATATAAATGAAGACGTAACTACCCTGCTTTCCAACCTCATTCCTGTAAGGACTTCTTAATAAGAGGCATTAATACACTTGGTGTCAGGCAATGAGCCTTAGATTTCTTTAAGGATTATACAGGGTGCAGCCAGGCTGAGAGAAGAACGGCAAAACTGATATGAAACAATATTAATATTGTACAGTTATGGGAAATTGTTAAGTTATGCAAAATACATTCTGTGATTTCTCATTTAGGACACCAGCAACAGGGATGTAGGCTATAAAACAGAAATATTGATAAGACAGAGGCAGATTGTGCCAGAGAACCAGAAGGGCACTGGCTGCAATAGGCACTACACATCCTAGCTCAGGCAAACCTGGTGCTTTTTCACTCTGCACCGCAAACCAAAGGGACAGTTTGCGACACTAACATTCATCATGGATCAGAGGAAGGGCTTTCACACCGCAGAAGAATTAAGCTTGAATTGTTTAAATCACAGAAGATATTGCTACTGTCAAAAGCCAGCAGGGTAAGAGGAGGGTTGCCATCTACATGGCTTCATGCAGATGCTAAGTGTGTCCCTTTTCTGGATCCTGTTGAGCCACCCCTCTCCTCCCCAGGGCTGCACATCTTTTAGAGCAGCCTTTGTAGTTCATCTGCGCCCATAGCAGAAGCTGGTTGAAGGTCTGGGGAATCTCCTTTGACTGATTCAGCATGTCCAGCTGGAACTGTGCCCCAAAGCACCCAGGAACTATGACCATATGCTTATAGGGAGACCAAAAATCTCCATCAAAACAAGCACAAGTTTCTTATACAGTGAGAGAAGATATTTTCTAGACAAAACAAAACAAAAAGTCAAGCACAGGAACACAGAGAAATTTGGGTTGAAACCCTGGTAGGTCCTGTCATGGGTTGCCAGGAATAAGACCATTTCAAAAAATCAGGTTACGCTTCACCTACTGTTGAAGTACCTGATGATGATGATGATGATGCAAACTAAGTGAGCACAGCAATGAGTTGTTCCTGTGCCACTAAGCACAGGGAGGCTAAAATTAAAGAGTGCTCAAAATAACCTGCTGTGGTCCCACAGAAATGCCTGAAGCTGTCCACTGACTGTGCAGAGCACCACAAGCCCAGGTATACACTTCCAGAGTAAGTGGTGCAACAACAGCCGTGGGGTGACCACAGACTGGCTCTGTCACTGCAGTCAGGCATGACACCCGACCACAAGTGGAAGCTCACAAGTCTGTTAGCAGAGAAATAGCTATGGACATCCTTAAACACCTCCCTTGTTCTTCGTCAGCATGAACATCCAGCAAAGAGAGCACAGTAATTCACCCAGGGCATTTCACTGCTAAACAAGGGAACAACCAGATTTTGTCAGCTCTGCATTCTTCGAATACAGCACCTATACACAATGCTCCCAAATCTCTCGCTGTGCTATTGTCTGAACATGCACATAAAACCTGAAACAACTTCATCCTAACTGCCTCATCTTATACCTACTGAGTCTTACCAGCACAACATATAGCCATCTGAGATCACCAAAAAAATCATTCAATAATTTCTCAATAGCATACCTTCCAAAAAACTGTTATGGTGACTTGAGCAAAGTGATTTTTCATCTGTTTGTTCTATTTGGTCTAGACTTTCTATTTTCAAGCCCTACAATTAACTATGAAAACATAATTCAAGATAGAAAGCTGCTGAC